CTGCTGCTGCTGCTGCTGCTGCTGCTGCTGCTGCTGCTGCTGCTGCTGCTGCTGCTGCTGGTTAGTGTGATGGTGGGGGCGGGGGATTTGGTTGTGGGGGTTATGATGGTGGTGGTTATGGTGGTGGTGGTTGTGGGGGTGGTGGTTGGGTGGTGGCGGTTATTATGGTGGTGGTGCTGCTGCTGCTGCTGCTACTGATGGTGCTGCTGCTGCTGCTGGTGGTGTTGCTGCTGCTGCTGCTGGTGATTGTGCTGCTGGTGGTGATGGTGCTGCTGCTGCTGTGTCTGCTGCTGTTTCTGGGGCTGCTGCTGCGTTCGCTGCTGCGCCAGCGCTGCAGTAGTTCTCGCTGCTGCTGCTGCTGCTGCTGCTGCTGCTGCTGCTTTGGAGTGAATTGGTGTGTGGGGCTGGGGTGTACGTACACCTGACGCAGTTGGGGGAATTCCACTTCCAGATCTGGTGGCAATGGGGCAGTTGACTGAAGAAGATGTTCAAGAAATAGTCCAAAGAACTCGAGACGGAGGCGGCGAAATCGTCAAGTACAAACCCCCGCGCAAACCCTAAACCCTAAACCCTAAACCCTAATTCCGAAACGCCAACTTCTGGAGATGCAAATCAACCAAATAATAAAGTAATAATAATAATAATTGCTATTATTATTTTAAAACTAACAATAACAATAATAATAATGGTAAGATAATGATAAATAATAAAGACAATAATGGGAATAATAGTAATACTAAGAATAATATCACAATAATAATAATGAGATCATAATAATAATTGACACCGGAAGGCTGTGCGCAGGTTTGTAGGGTTTAAGGTTTTGGAAGGGTTTAGGGTTTAAGGCTTGGCGTCAAGGGTAGATGGGATTTAGGGTTTAGGGTTTTTGGGTTGGGGTTTAGGGTTTGTCGTTTCTCGTTTGATTATCAAACAACAAAACCCTAAAACGAAGTCACTTGAAGTAAACAGAACTTAATTCCTTTTCAGAGCATCGTGTGAGTCACCCTAGAAAGGCGGAACAGAGCCAAAATCCTAAACCCTAAACCCTAAACCCTAGAAGGACGAAACCCTCGGGGTTTTGCTTGTTTCTGCAGTCTAATGAAAACAAGTTCTGCTTTCTTTGCCCCTGCTGCTGCGGGAGTGCTAATGGCAGAAGCTTATTTGAAAGACAAAAAGCGGGTGATTCCCTGCGCCGCTTACCTGGTGAGTTATGGGGTGTACGTACACCTCAGCGCATGCGCGCATGCGCGCAGGCGCTGAGGTGAGGTGTACGTACACCTCAGCGCATGCGCGCATGCGCGCATGCAGCTTTTTGCATTTTCTGCACAGAACTGGTTTTCGAGGGTTTCGCGCGCAATTAAACAAATAAGTAAACATTTAATTTGTTATTTTAGGCCTAATTACTCCGTTTTTCCTGCTGCTGCTGCTGCTGCTGCTGCTGCTGCTGCAGACCGGCCAGTATGGAGTGCAGGACCTGTACGTGGGAGTGCCCTGCGTCGTGGGACGCGGCGGAGTGGAAAAGATCCTGGAGTTGCAGCTCACAGAAACAGAAAAAGAAATGTTTCAAAAGTCTGTCGAAGCTGTCCGCTCCCTCGTGGAGGCGCTGCCCCGCAACCCAAAGTAAATCCCCACTCGCTGGCAGCTAGCTGCCTGGCTGGCTAGCTGGCCAGCTAGCTAGCTGGCTAGCTGGGTAGCCGGCCAGCTAGCTAGGTGGCTAGCTAGCCAGGTATCTGGCTGGCTAGCTAGGTTGTCCCCTAGCAAGCTGGCTAGCTGGCTAGCTGTCTGTCAGTGGACCTAGCTAGCTAAGTGGCTCTGGATGTCTAGATAGCGGGCTAGCTGGGCTAGCTAGCTGCATAGCTAGCCGGTTCGCTGCCTGTTAGGCGAGCTAGGTGGCTAGCTAGCTAGATGTCTAGCTAGCTAGCTAGATGGTAGCTAGCTAGCTAGCTAGCTAGCTAGCTAGGTGTTAGGGAGCCCCCACGCAGCGCAGCTGCCTCGCTGGCCGGGCGCTGCAGCAGCAAACGACGGCCTAGGCAGCTAATTATGCATTTAAAATAGAAAGAATAGTAGAATTAACAAATGAGAGAATAATTGAATTCACTTATGAGTTCAAATTATAAAAGTGTCGGAGTCCGAGGCAGCGACGGCAAAGGCCGCCCCCACTTCAGGTGTATGTACACCCCATATTGCTGCTTCCTTTTGACTCGGCGCTGCCGCGCAGATGTGCATTTTGTTGCGGCCTTCGAGACCTGCAGCAGCACAGCAGCAGCAGCAGCAGCACAAAGAGCAGCAGCAGCAGCAGCACTAGTAGCTGCAGCAGAAATAGAGGGGACTGGCGGACTCTGTATAAATCACTGCAGGCCTTCTGATGCAGCAGACACTGTCGCCAGCTGGCTAGCTAGCTAGCTAGCTAGCGAGCCAGCTAGCTAGCTAGCTAGCTAGCTAGCTAACGAGCCAGCTAGCTAGCTAGCTAGCTAGCTAGCCACCAGCTCATGGTGCGCCAGGAGGCATTGTGGGCAACTCAGCTTATGGGCGAAGGCGAGCAAATTTAGGTTTAAATGCATTTTTTCCAATTTTGTAAACAAATGAAAAATAGAAAATTGAATATTTAAAAGAAATATGATTTGTTCTTCGGTGCCAGGCTGTGAGTCTCACGTTGGCCGTGCCCCCTACAGCAGCAGCAGCAGCAGCTGCAGCAGCCGCAGCAGCAGCAGCAGCAGCAGCAGCCGCAGCAGCGGCAGCAGCAGCAGCACAGCGGCAGTCTCCGTCTGAAGGTTTGTGATATGGGGGGGCGGAGTTTATAATGTGTACAAGTATATTCATGTTCAAATGTATAAAGGTACATGCACTTGGTTTTTTTTTTTTCAGTATACTTCATATATTTTGCAAAAATAATATATATATTTATATATTCCAGAAATATAATATATATTGGGAAATGCATATTATATATATATGTGTGTAATATATATATGTATTTAGAAATATAAAAACACATGTATTATTATACAAATACATTACAGAGTTAAAGTATGTGCTTCTCTGCTGTACGTACACCATAAGCATCTGCGGACGTAAATGCATGCAAAGAAACTGTATATACACCTCAAGTGTCAGTAAAAGTAAATATGAAAATGCAAAAGCATACTTGCATGTGAGAAGCTATATATGAGGCATGCATAGGTACATGTAAGTACATTTATATGTACATTTATGCACAAATATGAGTGTAAATATCTGCATAAATATCAAAAACAAGTATAAAAACAAATATAAAAATAATTAGAAGTAAAAATGAAAGTATATCTGCAAGAGTCTACGAACAGCACACAAGCCCGGCCTCTGCGCCCATGAGGGTTTGGGGTATTTCTGGCCCGTTGAAGTTGCACAACAAAACAGAAACAAAACTATAAACTATTTTTGAAATATTATTTTTTATTTTGACACCAAAAGGCACTTCTTTCTAGCCTTCTGGGTTGCCGCTAGTGTTCCGCGCAGCTCGAGTGTACAGACACCCCAAGCACTACGGGTGTACAGACACCGCAGACCTTTGCGGTGTCTGTACACCTCATATTATGCATTAATGCACTCATAAAGAGACATTTAAATGCAGTTTCTAGCGCGGTTGTTGCATGCAAAAATAAAACATATTCTGCATGTAAATATAATAGTGAACATGTGCTGCACGCTTTTGTGCACGAGGCAGTGTACATACACCTGAAACTCACTTCGCAGGTGGACAGTCGTATGTGCATGCATGCAAAACTGTAAATTAATTAATTATTTATAAGTCAAATGGAGGCAAAAAAACAAAATAAAACATATCCATATCCTATTTATGTAACTTAGAAAGTACATAGTTATAAAAAATTGAATTTCCGCATTCTGTGTGAGCAAAGCAGCACGAGAAGCAGACACAATTGCACCTTTTGCTGCTGCTGCTGCTGCTGCTGCTGCTGCTGCTGCTTCTGCTGCTGCTGCTGCACTAATTGTAAATAAGGAATGTGATGGATTAAGGTAGATCTGCAGACCAAATTAAAAAGATATATTAGGCTGCATTTGTAAATACTAGAAAGTGAATAATAAAAATAAAATCATGGAGACAATTATTCCAGGAAGAACTGAACGAAATTTAAACTTTGCATGAAAATAACTAAAACGGAAATATTCTAAAACAATTAACAGAATCCAATCACGAAAAAAGATCTATAAATAAAACTGGAAGTGCAAATAAATTAAAAATTAAAATTGCAAGTAAGACTATAATTGTAATAAAGTTATTTCTGCGGAGTCAAAGCCGGGTTCTGTTCCCTCTCTGCGCAGACGCTGCAGCAGCGCAGCATCAAATGGGCTGCTGCAGCAGCAGCAGCTGCAGCAGCAGCAGCTGCAGCAGCTGCGGGAGCGGCTGCCGCCTCAGCAGTAGCAGCAGTTGCAGCAGCGGCAACTCAGCACGAGGCGCAGCAGCAGCAGGAGCTGCGGCAGCCACTGCAGCGACACGAGTCGCCGCAGCAGCAACTGCAGCAGCAGCAGCATCAGCGCCTGCAGCAGCAGCAGGCGCAGCAGCAGCAACAGCGACTGCAACAACGCCTGCAGCCGCATCTGCAGCAGCCGCAACAGCAGCCTAAGCGGCGCAGCTGCTGCTGCTGCAGCTCAGGCGATGGTGCACATGCATCGGGCGGCGTGGGCGTTGCAGCAGCTGCTGCTGCTGCTGCTGCTGCTGCTGCTGCTGCTGCAGCTCAGGCGATGGTGCACATGCACCGGGCGGTGTGGGCGTTGCAGCTGCTGCTGCTGCTGCTGCTGCTGCTGCAGCTGCTGCTGTCCCTGAAGACCAGGAAGACGTGGCAGGCCGTGGGGGCCCCCCTGTGGGGCCCCACAGGGTAGTCCCGCAGCCTGCGGGAGTCCAGCATTTCCCGGCCGCAGCAAAACAGCCGCAGCCGCAGCAGCTCTTTGGAGGGCCCCAGCGCCTGCCGCCACTGCAGCAGCAGCAGGTCCGCCTTCACCTCCTGCAGAGTCTTCTCCGCCTGCAGCAGCAGCAGCAGCAGCAGCAGCAGCAGCAGCAGCAGCAGCAGCGGAGGTTGTGCGTTTTTAGAGCGCAGGAGCGTTTACGGGGGCTTAGGGGGACTCAGGAGGGTTTGCGGCGGTTTCAAGGGTTTGCGGGGGTTTAAAAGGGTTTGAGGGTTTAGGGTTTAGGGAGGGTTTAGTAGGGTTTAGGGTTTCGGGTTGGTAGGGTTTAGAAGGAGCTGCGACAGCATTCAGAGGGAGTTATAGGAGGGTTTAGTAAGGCTTGGTAGGGTTTAGGGTTTAGGGTTTAGGGTTTAGGGTTTAGGGTTTAGGGTTTGCGGAGGCAGCAGAGCCTCGCGAGCCCGTTAAAGGGCGGCTTGCCAGATTCCAGGGCTTAGCGCTAGGGCCTAGGGTTTAGGGTTTAGGGTTTAGGGTTTAGGGTTTAGGGTTTAGGGTTTAGGGTTTGGCTTACGTCGTAGGAGACGTCAATGGGGCTTTGGCTGCAGTTGGAAAAGATGAATTTGATGTGAGCCATTTGTTTTTCTTCGGAGGTTTTGACTCTTGCAAACGATTTAAGCTTGGCCACGCAGTCCATCTGGAGGGTTTAGGGTTTAGGGTTTAGGGTTTAGGGTTTGGGGTTTAGGGTTTGGGGTGCAGGATCTGCGAGGTGACCCTAGACCCTTGCGCAGCAGCCGCTGCGTCGTTGCTGCTGCCACCCGGAAGCAGCAGCAGCCAAACCATTTGTTTTTAGGGTTTAGGGTTTAGAGAAAGCAGCAGCAACTTCAATTTGGAGAATAATCAAACTAAATACAAAAAGCGCTTCAAACGAGGCGCAGCATCCTGCAGCAGCAGCAGCAGCAGCAGCAGCAGCAGCAGCTGCAGCAGCAACACCTCGCGGTGTCACTGCAGCACCCAGGACGTGACCAGTGGTCCACACGAGCTGCTCGCATGCAAAGGTTTCTCCATCCGCCTCCAGGCCTCCAAAATAAAAGAATAAATAGTTTTAATGCATGCAGCACTTTCTATTTCCGAGTTTCTGCTGCGGCGTCTGCTGCGCTGCAGCAGCAGCAGCAGCAGCAGCAGCAGCGGCGGCGGGCTTTCTGCGCTGCGCAGCCCGCGATGCATGCAAATCTGCTTCAAGAAACTTTATTTATTTAAAATAAATGTTTTTACTTTTATTTTTTTGATCTGCTCTTTTTATTTCAGCGGAAATGACCCAAGTACAGGCTGCAGCTGCAGCGGCGCAGCAGCTACTGCTACTGGCAGCAGTAGCAGCAGCAGCAGCAGCAGCAGCAGCAGCAGCAGCAAGCTCGAGTCCTAGCTGCAATTACTTTTACTATTCTTTTATTTTTAGGAAAAAACTAAAAGGGAAAAATTTATTTATTTAGTAGTGGAAGAGGAAGCAGATAAATGGGGACGCAGAGAAGAATAACATAATTTAGAGCAACATTTTAGGGTTTAGGGTTTAGGGTTTAGGGTTTAGGGTTTAGGGTTTAGGGTTTAGGGTTTAGGTTTGAGCTGCCGCCACTTTTGTTCAAATGGAAATATTTAAAGTTTTGAATTGAATGTAAAAAGGATTTAAAATAGAAGTCTTTCGTTTTGTCTTTTGCTTTTTTTTCTTTTTCTTTTTTCTCTTTTTTTCTTTTGTATTTCTTTTTATTTCATTTCTTTTAATTTCCTTTTCTCTCCCTTTTGACTTTTCATTCTTTTGCTTTTTTTTTAATTCCTTAAATTTTTTTAATTCTTTCATTCTTTTAATTCTTTTACTCTTTTAATTCTTTTTAATTCTGTCAATTCTTTTTATTCTTTTTTTATTCCTTTTAATTCCTTTTGATTCTTTTTCATTCTTTTATTTTTAAATTCTTTTTTGAATTCTTTTTTGAATTATTTTTTGAATTCTTTTTTATTCTTTTTATTCTTTTCAATTCCTTTTTAATTCTTTTATTTATCTCCTTTTATTTCTTTTAAACTCCGGCCCCTGTTTATGTTGAGTTTTATTTTTGCAGTTTATTTTAATTCAATTTTTTTAATTTTTGAAAAGTTTTCTGTACTTTTCATCTTCTTTTAATTCTTTTTGAAATGCATTTTATCTTTTTGAAGTCTTTAAAATTATTTTTTAACTTTTTCAATTGTTTTAATTATTTCTAAATCTGTTTAATTCTTTTTAATTCCTTTTATTCCTTTTCGTCTCTTTTTGTCTTCTTTTCTAATTTCTTTTTCTCTTTTTTAATTTCTTTTTTTCTTTTTAAATTTCTCCTTTTCTTTTTGTAATTTTATTTTGTTTCCTTTTGTTGTCTCCGTTTGAAAAAGAAAAGGCAAAAAACTCATAATTCTAAACCCTAAACCCTAAACCCTAAACCCTAAACCCTAAACCCTAAACAACAAACCCTACGAGAAGTGAGGTGCGGGTCGCCCCTAACAGCAGATTTGCTCTTCTTGTTGCTGCTGCTGCTGCTGCTGCTGTTTTTACTGCCTTTGCTGCTGCTGCTGGTGCTGCTGCTGGTGCTGCTGCTGGTGCTGCTGCTGCTGCTGCTGCTGCTGCTGCTGTTGCTGCTGCTGCCTCTGGTGCTGCTGCTGGTCCGGCTGCTGCTGCTAATGGCTGCTCGTGCCGCTGCTTTTGGTGCTGCTGCGGCCTCTGTTGCTGCTATTGCTGCTGTTGCTGCTGCTGCTGCTGCTGCAGCAGCAGCAAGAACTTCATTTCAATTTCTTTTGTTTGAGCAAAAAAAGAGGCAAAAAGAAGACAAAAAGGAGACAAAAAGAGAGACAAAAAGAAAGACAAAAAGAGATAAAAAAGGAGATAGAAAGGAGACAAAAAAAGGAAATGAAGAGGAGATAAAGAAGAATCAAAAAGGCAATAAAGAAGAATCAAAAAAAAGACAAAAAGAAGCAAAAAGAAAACAGAAAAGGAGACAAAAGAGGAGAAAAAAAAAGAAAAAAGGAAAAAAAAGATATAAGAAAGATACAAACAAGAGACAAAAAGAGGAAACAGAAAAGAAACAAAAAAGAAAAAGAAAAAAAGTTGATTTTTTTTTTAAATTTCTCTTCTGTTTTTCAGCGCTGCTGTTCTGGCTTCTGGCATTCCTTTTGGCAGCTTTCTGGTTTTTTGGACTTTTTTCTTTTTTTTTGCATTGCTGCTGCTGCTGCTGCTGCTGCTGCTGCTGCTGCTGCTGTTGCTGCTGCTGCTGCTGCTGCTGCTGCTGTTGTTGTTGCTGCTATTTCTGTGTCGATTGATTTGTTTTTGCTTTTGCTGCTTTCATTTTCGCTGCTGCTGCCATTAATGCCATTAGCAGCACTTCTTTCTTTTTTTACTTTTCTGAAAAATGCCATCTTAGGATTTTAAAAATGAATATTTTTTTGCTGCTAATAAAAATAAAATAAATTAATATTTGTCTTTTAATTTATTTTCATAATTGCGAAAAGTGCAGCAATTACACTTTTGGACTTTTTGCAACTTTTGCTTTTGCCATTTGGCCTTGGCCATTTGCTGCTGGCATTAGTGGCATTATTTTTAAAATTTAATTTTTTTTGTTTTATTTAAATTGCATTTTTGTTTTTGAAATTAAATTCATTTTCTTTGTAAACAGCAGCAACTGCCCAACGTGGGGCCCCTGTTTGTCTTGAGTTTTATTTTTGCAATTTATTTTAATTCAAATTTATTTATTTTGGAAATTTTTCTGCCAACACCTCGAAGTGGATTTCTGGTTTCGACTTTTGAATTCGAATGTTCAACTGAAGTTTTTAAAAGTTTTTAAAATCTTGAATGTCCTTATTAGAAGTCCTTTTCTGGGGATTATTATTTGAATTAAAGAAATTATTTCAACTCAAGTTTCCACTTTTTGCACTTTTATTCCCACTGGGAATTGCTTTCCCTCCTGTGCAGTCAACCCTCTTTCAGTGTCTGTACAGCCCACCGACTCTGCCGCATTTGCAGACTTTCTGTTTTCTGCAGATTAAAACTTAATTGGCATTAATTTGATAATTGGCATTAATTTAATTGGAGGAGAACGCGAAAAAGTGAAGTGCTGGAGAGGGTGTGTGCGGAGGCAAGATGCGCTCTGGTGTACATACACCCGGGGTGCGTTCGTGGACCGCCGTCGGAAAACGCGAAATCGGCGCCACATTTGACTCGAAAGAGGAGAAAATAATCTTAAAAACTGGGAAAAAAGCCTAAAAAGGACTATTACGGAGCTGAAAACCGGGAAAATTCAGCAGCGGCAGCGGAGCAGCAGCAGCAGCAGCAGCTAGTCTGCGAGTGGCGCAGCTGCCGGATCTGGCAAGTCTTGAGTGTGGAACGCGTTATTTTGGAGCGGATTGCAAAGTTGGAAGTCAACGGAAAGGAAACTTCACGAAAAAGCGGGCGAATGGGTGGCGGATCTGCGAGGCTGCAGGGTGCTGCAAGACAGGAGCCAGGGGCTGGGATCGGGGTTTTTTTGCGGCGGCTTTTCGCTGGTTCTTTCCGAATGGATTTGAAAAAAGGAAATTAAGAATTAAAATGAATTTTCGGGGGGACTGGCGGCGCAAAGTTTGGCGTGTGGAGTTGCGCGGCGGAGTTCGCGGTGCTCCCCCCGAGCCAGCTGTCTAGACACCGCGGGGAGGGCGCGTAAATTCGGTTTTCGGCGCTTTTTTGGCGGGTTTTAGTTAATTTTTTTTTGCGAAGAAGTATTAAATGGGTTTTAAAAGTGGAGAAAGGGGTTTGGAGCGTTGGATCGGCCGCGGTGCTCGCGGGGCTCCCCTCCTCGCTGCCGGCGTCGGCGCTGGTCATGGCAGCAGCAGCGGTGCTCAGCGGCGGGCTCGCGGGCGGCGTTTGCGAAAAGGAAAGAAAGTTTGCATTTTAAAAGGAAGTTCTTGCGGAGTTTCCTCGCGAGTTGCAGGCCTTGGCGGCTTCGTCTTCCCGCGCCGCAGCAGCAGCAGCAGCAGCAGCAGCAGCAGCAGCAGCAGCAGAGGCTCGCGGCTGCCGGTCATTGCCTGCGGCTGCAGCAGGCAGCAGTTGCGCCTTTGTCTGGGTCGCCGTTGCACGCGCGGGGGTGTCTAGACACCTCTGCCTCCAAAGACACCGCCTGCTCCCGCAGCAGCAGCAGCAGCAGCAGCACCTCTCCCGCTGCTGCAGCAGCAGCAGCAGCTC